CTATCTATCTATCTATCTATCTATCTATCTATCTATCTATCTATCTAATCTATCATCTCTTCAACAGCGTCCAATTTTGGGGGACTGCCTGGATACGTCCCTGCAGTTTACTAGGTTATTCAGAAGTGGTTAGGTGGGACTAACCACCTAAATAAAATTATGACCTGTGCAGAATCAGACAGGCTAACTAAACCTAGAATTGAAAAACAAGGGGAAATCCGAGTAGTATGAAATGTGGAATAAATTCTATCAGTGGCTACATACAAGAAGGCAAAATCAGAACATAAGGAGCTATGATGAACAGAATAATTAGCAAATAACGTATCAAACAAAATGATTGTAAATGGTGAAATAACATTTATATATGTATAACAATTGTAACACCAGAACGGCTGCACCATGTTGTATTCATACGAGATATGAATTCATTCATATATATATATGAATGAATGAAAGAAAGAAAGATTGCAAACAAACTGATTCCTTAAAATAGAAAAAACATTTTATGCAATGTACTGAAAATAAATAAATAAATAAAACCTAAGGAAAAGTCTTGACAAAAGAAAGAAAGAAAGAAAGAAAGAAAGAAAGAAAGAAAGAAAGAAAGAAAGAAAGAAAGAAAGAAAGAAAGAAAGAAAGAAAACGAGGACATTGTTGTCCCTGCATTCACACATAAGAATCCAAGGGCATTCCTCACTGTTTCAAACTCTCCTAGAATTTATTTAACAATGTCCTTTGTTGCTCTATCTTGCCTAAAGATTTACTTGGTAAATAGGAGCTTTGTCATTTGTGAGTGATGTGCATGGAAACAAGAAGGTCACCACAATGCAAAAAAAAAAAAAAAAAAAGAAGAAGAAGATGTGGAGATCCTACAAAGAGTGCAGAGAAGAGCAACAATGTTGATAAGGGGCCTGGAGGCTAAACCATACTACAAAAGTTTGAGGGAACTAGGTCTGTCTAGACTAGTGAAGAGAAGGACTAGGGATGACTTGATAGCTGTCTTTCAATACTTGAGGGGCTGACCCAGAGAAGCGGGGGGGACCGATCTATTCTCCAAAGCTCCTGAGAGCAAGGCAAGAAGCAACAGGTGGAAGATCATTAAAGAGAGATCCAACCAAGAACTAAGGAGAAATTTCCTGGCAGTGAGAAGAATTAGTCAATGGAACAGCTTACTTCCACAAGTTCCAGAAGTTGCTCCACCATTGGAGTTTTCAAGAGATGGGACAGTCATTTGTTCAGAACAGCATGAGGCCTCCTGCTTGAAGAAGGGGTTGGACTAGAAGACCTTCAAGATCCCTTCCAACCCTATGCTCTATGTCAGAAGAAGAGGAAGAAGAAGAAGGAGAAGGAGAAAGAGGAGAAGGAGGAAAAGGAGAAGGAGAAGAAGAAGAAGGAGAAGAAGAAGAAGGAGAAGAAGGAGGAGGAGAAAGAGAAGGAAGAGAAGGAGGAAAAGGAGAAGGAGGAGGAGAAGGAGAAGGAGGAGGAGGAGGAGGAAGAGGAGGAGAAGGAGGAGGAGAAGGAGAAGGAGAAGGAGGAGAAGAAGAAGAGTAGCAGCAGCAGCAGCAGTAGTAGTAGTAGTAGTAGTAGTAGTAGTAGTAGTTAATTTAAGTGGTTCCTGTGGCCATATAAATATTGATTTATTTATGGAATTAGCGAATACTTTGCTCACCATGATGCTTTACTGTCCATAGCAGACGGTATACGATAAAATAATAAAAACGAACATTTAAAAGACTTTAGAAATTAAAACCACACCTGTCAGAATGCAGTCTTAGGCATCTTATTTTCAGAAGGATCGCACTTACCTGTGCTTCTTTTTAATATCAGCAAAAACCTGGACGTGTTCAGCTCCTATTTGCTTGCGGTATCGTAGCAAGTTCCCCGCGCAAGCGTTCAGAATCCCTTCGTCAGCCACATGAGAGAAAACGAAGCCTTCAACTCGAACAAAATCCGCACCTAGAAACAGCAATAAACAAATAAATAATCAGGGCTGTTGATAAAGCTAATTAATTCTGCTTGGTCCTCAATTATGTCTAATTACCTTTCCCAGATGATGCCCAAAACAAAACAGGTTACATTAGAAAGACCAATGGGGTGTTTAGCAAGCTAAACACAGATAAAGATGTTGCAGGAATAAAATGTCAGTTCAATCTTTCTCTTCTTCCTTCTTTCTCCTTCTTCCCTCTTGTTCTTCTTGTCTTCCCTCCTCCTCCTCCTCCTCTCTTCTTCTTCTTCTTCTTCTTCTTCTTCTTCTTCTTCTTCTTCTTC